ACTTAGAAATTGCAGTGCAAGGGAGGCATATGGGTTTGGACACAATGGTACTCTGTAGATCTTCAACGAAGTGCAAGGTAAGCTGACAGGAATACGAGAAATGCCATTCATTATTTTACCATGCCACCATTGGCAAAAAAAATCTATCAGCCTTGTGAGTGACATTGATGAATGTAGTGTATTATATGTAAGCCGATATGTAAGCCGATCAATTGATACTACCTACATTTTAACCTAGGTTAGCCTGGTTAGCAACTTGGCAAGCTTGATATCATTTACAGTACCCCGCCAGGACAGAAGCGCTTGATATTCAAAATGAAAGACATTAATCAAAGCGACCCCATATTCGTCGCGAATTTTCCACGTTTTGCAAGGTCTCTTTTTTTCAACATTTTATGTCCATGTCAACCTTGAAACCCATTCCAGATTTACATCGGCCATGGACCGGTGACTGCAATGACGGCAACACATGGCGATAGACCCCCACGAATTTTTGCCATATACGGCATCCTTTTCGTATGTATCTAGGCAGCTACATAGGTAGCTAGGTAGGTCTATGTATATAAATGATGGTATATTAACGCTACAACCTCTTTGCTCAGCGTTCCAAGTTCCGAATTTGATCTTACTATAATGTAATGTGTACAAACACCGACGATCAGTTAATAAGTACAGACCTAAGTAATTAGTAGCAGGTTAACGGTATTTGATGTTTCCAAAGTTCCAGGGTCGTATGGATTTATATGATTTAGCTTCAAACATAGATAGGTATGTGCTAGGTAGGGATATGTATTGGCAACTTTGAGGTTCAAAGTTATCCGATGTCTGCGTGCAGTGCAGTCTAACCTACATTGTAGGTACTTGGGTACTATGCAGTTATCGATTCAACGTTACACTTATGATGCTTGTTGTGCCGAGCGAATAGCAAAGAGGAGATTTCTAGTTAGTTTCATTCTAACCGTTGACTTCTCCGCACTTTTAATACTTACGCGCGATACATCATATTTCTCTACCTTAGGGGACCTTAGGTAACCTACCGCACGCCGTGCAGGCACTGCAGGCACTGCAGGCACCTACAGGCTACTACTACACCACACAACTTTACCTACACTACAGTACCAATACAACAACAAAAGCTGACTCCTGACTTGAATTTGTGATATATCATTCCCCAAAACCAGGTAGATTCCCTCGTAATCCTCTGAACTGTCCTCATTCATCCAGCTGATTACCAGTAGTAGTAAATGACCACTGCTGACCATGTCCATGTTGTCCATGCTTACCTACCGACGCATCAACGGGTTACGGCCGTCAGCAGTATTATGCAAATCTTTACGCGAGAGATGCCCTTTGTCCGTTGTCGCCCGTGTGTTATGGTGTTATGTAGGTGACCACCAGCAGGCCAACGGGCTAGTTCGTACCGATCAGCCAACCACCCAGCCAACCCGTAACTCTGCATTGAGGTCTCTGATTCAACGGTGCTCAATTCCCTTTTGCGGATCTATACAATCCCACTCTTCCCCACGATGCAGCGATACAGTATACACTCTCATGTGGTGTTGCATGCTTATCTCACCCATTCCTACATATGTAGTTGTAGGTAATACATATGTCTGCCTATGCAGATATCGCTTCCACTGGAGAGATGCCCGATGATTGTAGCTCGTTATTTATACCCAGTATCAAGTCATCTTCTACAAGTTTGCCTCAGCCAGGTAGTTCAGAATTAGTCCATCCGAGGCTTACCTACCCTACCTACATCCACCTCGCTTCTCATGACCCTTTCATCCCATGTCAGCTGTATTTACCCCATCCAGGAACCCGCCTTGACGGCTGACCATCCCTTCTCGCCAGCTTATGATGGTTAGCTGACAACGGACGTATCCGCTGTTCGTACGGAAACATGCCTATTGCGTACAGCACGGCGGTATTAGGGGTAAGGTGCGCATTAGGGCTGAGGGTCATGTGTGCTGTCCGATCATGAAACACCCATCTCCACGATTTATTAGATCTACCAGTCCCAAATATCGATCTTGCAGATACATACGCTGCTTCTGCATCGATACCACAATCTCAAAAAACTGATGACCGCTTCCGCCCATAGCCGGCCTCGGGAGTTGGCAAGAATTTTGTTCAAGGAGGCCCTCCCTTACGTCCCCTTAAATACCGGGCCCAAACAAGGGACAAGTTTATTGCACCTCCTTTCGTACGCACGTATGTAGTAGATATATAGATAGATAGACTACGGTAGATGACTACCTGCCTACATGGTAGATTGCCTGCCCACACATGGCAACTTACGGACCCAGCTCTCTGGATCAAACCACGAGCTCTGATTGCGTCGGTATCAGCCGAGCGGCAAGATGTTGGACCCGATCTTCCCATTGACGTTTACCAGATCTGCTAACTTGCATTTTCGTATATGTTTGCTTTGAGATCCATATTAGTCTATAAGTAAGATGATTGCGAGTCTCATATTGAATGCCTGGTATCATACATACATAGTCATACATGTACCTACATAGCCATGTACTATGTATGTATGTATGTATATATGTGTATATGTACTACCCCTAACGAGCCACCACTTTGATATATCTGAACGTCCCAAGGAGGGATGCTACCTGTTACATATACCGCATTATATACCGCATAGAACGTCTAGTGCCTATGCTTGCCGGTAGGTATGCAGTTACTCGAGAACTTTCCTGTATCCGTTAGGCCGAGAACGAGTAAGCCCGTCGTAAAAAAAAAAAAAAAAAAAAAAAAAAAGCCGTTCAACTACACATGTACCCTCATGCCGTGCAGCTTAGGGTGGCACGCCGCACACGGCACGACCTACAACCACAAGCACCTGGACCAGCAACCCAAAAAAAAAAGCAAAAATCGAATGGCTATGTAGAACGATGGTCAAGGGGGTAACACTTATGTTTGCGCCACGAAAAAGAGGGAAGACGCGGCTAGATGCATCAACAAATGTTCTACCGCCTGGCTTGAACTCCCCTTCCCCCCTTGTTTTCCCTCTAACCTGGTCCTCGGCGCGATCATGTGTGTGCGTGTGCGTGTGTGTCCGCACCAGACATTTTCATGCTTGGGTACCTAACCATGTACGTATGTGTGTGTGTAATTCAGGTTTCACAAGACAAGGAGCAGAAGCGAGTAAGTTATTGACGGGTCATATTTTTTCTTATTTTTCTGGGTTAAAAATAAGTAGGTAGGTAGGGGGGGGGAGGGAAAAAGTTATCACGTAAGTATGTACGAGAGAAAACACTATCGCGGTGTGTATGTTTCCCCCCTCCTACATACATACATAACAGACTCCGCTTTCTTAGGTAGGCATTGTGGCATGACATGATCACCGTGATAATTCCAGTCCCAAGGTTTCGAGTTCTAAGGCCCAGCCGAGTCCAGATCTCATGTGGGAGGAAGTATGAAACCATCGGAGGTGTTGTGCTGTATGTACCAAATTTTTTTTTTTGCTTCTTCACTTACATAGGGGCGAGGGAGAGGGAGGTACCTACGGGCGTACGTGCACGCACTGCGAATAACGTCGGCGGTCATCTGTGTCCGAGCGATACCCAACCACATGCACTTCAAGATTTCACGCCTGCCTGCAGCAGCGGCAGCAAGCAAGTTGGTATGTAATATCAGACCTTTTGTACCTACAGCAACCTGGGGTAAGGTAGGTAGGTATTGATGTACAATACAAGCATAGCTAGTAGGCATTCTCGCCAAAAAAAAAAAAAGATCTGCACTGCCTTGTTGCCAATTCGGGGCACGGCTCGACAATTTTTCTGACCTGTCTCTTTTTCTTTTTTTTTAGGGTATGGCATTCCTTCCTTTTTTCGCCTTTTCTCCCGCTGCTCCTCGTTGGCTGGAGCTGGGCCACAACAAGAAAAAAACGAGCATCCTCATTTTGGCCCAACGATGGGATTGATGGAGCAAGGTAAGGTAGGTAGAAGGGTGCCTACTTACTTGCCTACCGACCTACCTACCTACCAAACTTTGCCTGCCTAGACTAGCCTATGTAACTCTTGTGTAGGTAACTATGTAGGGAGGTACGCAGGAAAAAAGGAGATGACGATGTCTGACCGGTCTGCAGCAAAAGACTGCGGCCGCAGGAAAGGGGGCCATGAATTCCTACTCTAGTAACCTAGGTAGGTATAGTAATTGCGTGATTAGGTAACGAATGGGGAAGGCAGAGAAGGAAAAGAAAAACGAACCACGGTTACCGGTGACACTCCTGTGGTAAAAACGATATCTACATACATACCCAGTTAGAAAAACTGTACTGTAGATTCGTGACAAATGATTACACAGCAATTGGCTTGCTAGATAGTTACTAGGTATAATTCTTTTATCTTTCCCTTCCCTCTCGACAGCCTTGCCCAAATCTTACATGGGACTCGAAAAAAAGCCGGCAATGAAGATCGTCCCAACGATCTAGGTACCCAAGTAGGTTAGTTTAGTTAGATGATACCACCAAACCAAGCCCAAACCCTCCCCTTTTACCCAGTTACCTTACCTAACCTACTAACCTTCCAGACCCTTTCTAAATTCTGTGGGCGAGACGAAAAAACCTTAGGTATGGTATGGTATTTATGGGATCCATTGGGGGGGACCTATTATCTTAACTTGACAATGTTGCGTACCTACAGTATGTTTGGCTCGCGAAGTATGTGGGGCACACTTGGGAGGTTCAAATTTCAATTGCCGAGAAAAAACACAGGTAACTACCTAGAGACCCCGGTAATAAAGAAAACTATCGTCAAACAAACCTTCGTTCAGAGAAATCATCGTCAGCCTCGTTGTCATGGGGAAAGAACGTTCCCTGAGGTTACTATATCCGGTTTGGGCCTTTTGGGACTAAGGGCTAAGAGGGGGGGAGGGGGCTAACTCCTCCGACGATGACACCTATGGATGTATGCGTGTACGAGCGAGTGAGCCTTCCTATCGGGTCTGCTAACAAGACGCTATTATTATCATTAGTAAAAGAATCATCCATTAGCTGGTTGATTCGAAACTCCATGAACCCTGGATGGCTTCGCAATCATTATCATTATCATTATCATCACTGCTAAGTACCTATCATCTGACAGACACCTCACTTCTTCGCCTCGGGGTTACGTTTCCGCCGTGGCCTCGACTGCCACCTCTCGCTCATCGAAGCCTTGAAATCCACAATCTCACTCCCGTCCCCTGCTACTGGCACTCCTTCTCCTGCTCCTGCCGCTGTTGGTGGTGGTACCATGATTTCCACCCCCTCGGTGAAAACCAGATCGCCCTTCTTGCCCAGCACCTCGCGCCCCGCCTCCTCGAGTAGGATGCCTAGCGCCAGGAGCGCAGTCTCGTCCATGCTCTGCTCGTCGACGTTGCGGGCCTCTTCACCTCCACCTCCACCTCCTCTCCCCCCTCTCCTTCCTCTCCTCTTCCGCGCAGAGGCAACAGCAAGAGCCCCGTAGAAGTGACTAGCATAGCTGTGTATCGCCGTGAGCATGTCGCTGTCAGGCAACCGCACCTCGTCCCTGCCCCTGCCGTCGCGTAAGGCTGCCACCGCCGTGTGGTAGATGTCCTTCTCGGCGTACCGCACGGGCGCGCCGATGCGCCGGAAGAGGACGTCCTCAGGCGCGAGCGTCGGGTCGCGCTTCAGACTGCGCGCCGCGTAGGAGAGGGGTGGGCGCTCGGTGCCAGAGTCCCCGCCGCCGGCTAGGGGGAGGGTGGTGGTTACGCGGCCTGGGGGTTTTGGTTAGAGAGGAGATAAGGTAAGTTGTGGTAAGAACACTAGGGGGGAAAGCTGGAAAGTATCTAGTCTAGGTAGGGAAAGGGAGAGCACGAACCTGCTACTGCATCATACACATTGGCTTCTCGCTTCCTGCGCTTCCTTCTACCGCCGTCTATAGCGTCGAGCTCAGTCTCGAAGTCGGTCTCACGCCCGGTTGCGGTGCCGCGTTCTTCTGGGTAGGGTAGGAAGCCGTCTCTTTTAGATGATGATGCCATGATTTATTTGCGCTGTCTCTGTGTATGGTATTTTCATACCTGGATAGTCATGGTAGTAGTAGTGCCTTGTATATGCATAAGGAATAAGTATAAGTATAAGTATAATTCAATGTTCCCTACAGCAGGTGTACTGGAGTGTTAGGTACATACATAATACCTAGTACTTACTGTCTGTGATGTTCCAGGCACGTGAGGCTAAACTACCTCTTCCCTTGTACAGTTGTACTTTGTAACTCACGTTAAAGTTTAGCGGGGTCTTTCACAATTGGCAGAGAGATACCCACCTATTTATACATCTAACGCAACTACGTAATCATTACATCTTCACATCTTCACATCAAGACTACTACTAGTACTACCTTCAAGTAAGACGACTTAACATAAGGTTCTCTTGTAATTCTGGGTCTCTGATCCCTGAGTATTCAGTTTAATTGAATAGACCGTGACTTCTCGTCATGGTCATTTATCCTTAATGAATGAATCGACTGCTTTTTGAGCGGTCCACTGGCAACATTGGACCCAATGTCTTTGCTAGACTGCAATCAACGAAGCTCTTACACTCCTTTGAACCTACGCCACAGATCCGCTTCAATGGTGGAGAGAACGGAACAGCCGTAAAAATTGACGAGAATGGGGCTATAGACCCCAACACGCCTTCTTCTATATGGGCTCATCAGGCTGGTGTTAATGCTCTGGCACTCGACCGCTTCGATGGGAAAGTGTAAGCCATAAATCTCATCAGATCAGTGTACCTGATCTAACAGACACAGCCTTATTTCTGGAGGAATAGATGGCAGTATCAGACTTTGGGACCTAGAACAGTGTAGTGATCCAACCAAGGGACACACTTACACTCCTGCTGTGGATATTCCACGCTCTCCCGAAACCCACAAGTTTGGTATCACCCACCTTTCATTCTTTCCCTTTGATCCACACTCTTTCCTCTCCACTTCCTACGACAAGACGTTGAAAGCTTGGTCGACGAGATGTGGTACGCTTGCAGCCTCATTTGATCTCGGCCACAGAATATACACCCACGCCACCTCTCCTATCGCCCACCACCTACTCGTTGCCTGTGGAACACAGCACCCCGCCACTCGTTTGGTAGATCTACGTACAGGCTCCTTCGTACAGTCCCTGCCTGGCCAGAGAGGAGCCGTACTAGCCACATCGTGGTCCCCGAGAGACGAGCATATTCTTGCTACTGGGGGTGTAGATGGAACAGTCAAGTTATGGGACATTCGCCGGGCTGGTGGAGTTGTAGGCATGTTGAACAAAGACGACGGTCTTGGAGTCTTTCATAATGGCAATATGGATCCCAGTGGTAGAGTCCGCCTGCAAACTTCGGCCAAAGCGCACACGGCCCCTGCCAATGGCCTTACCTGGACCGACGACGGCGCATATCTCGTTTCGGCTGGACACGATGCAAAAATCCGTGTGTGGGATATCGCAACTGGAAGGAATACGCTTGCAAGCTTTGGACCCACCATCAAAAACAGTCAACTCGGCAGCGCGATCATGTTTACATCGCCAGTCGGCCTCACCCATCCTGGAGAAGAGCTTCTCTTCTGGCCCAATGAGAAGGAGATTCTAGTGTTGGACTTACATGACGGCCACGTGGTCACGAAACTTAGAGAGACCGGACCATCTGTCACTGGCATTCGAACATCCACGGGCGCGACACAAGAAATCCCAAATCGAATCACTAGCATAGTTTGGAGAGGTGCTGGAGGCGGAGACAAGTCGAGTGGCGCAGTCATGGGCGGCAGCAACACCGCCGGTGCTGTCTTCGGGGCGCACCTCGACGGTCAGATCCGAGCTTGGACACCGCGTTTAGAGGGAGACGATAATGAGGATGATGACGATTCCTTAGATGCGTCTAACGAGGAGAGGACCAAGAAACGGAGGGCTCTCAATGACGTTTTTCAGGGTTTAATGGAGAAGAAGATCAACTTTTCCTAAAGACTAATGACGATACAAAAACCCCTTTGAACTGAGAACCCACACCCATCTGCGTCCCATAAGAAGGGTCTTTGCGGAAGCCAGGGCCACCATCAACCCTCGTCTTCTTCCTCTCCCCCTCTTATGGGGCTGACCGACTCTCTGTAGATAGAGAGGGACTAGGGACTAAAGCAATCTAGACCCGTACCGGCCCTCATGCAAGACCGCTTGGCCTGCAGATGGCGATGGCACTTGACTCTGGCCTAAGCCTTCTCATAGGGCCCTTCGCCCCTTGAATGCCTTGACTAGGTAGATAGAGAAGGAGGTATGTAGGGTTAAGTACCTACTATACCTACCTAATGTATAAATGTGCCTCACTCACCGCTGCTCTTACATACAAGATCTACAACAGACAGAAGGAAGAAAACTCCTCTTCCTCCTTCCCCTCTCCTCTCCTGTGTATAACGACTTAGTGACTTAGTTGGGTTGCGTTTGTTGGCTCTTGATGCTTTTCGACTGCTGATGGATCTCCACATGTTGATGATTACTGCGGGACTTGGGTTTTGTTGTTGTGGTGGTTGTACTGCGTAGGTACCTGTACTTACACGTACTTACTGACTTACTGGTTTACTGCCTGGTGTTGAAGCCGCATTTACTAGGTAGACAGCCATAGATGTAGGTATTGTCTTAGATCTACACTGCGTAGGTGTTTACTGAATATAGGTAAATACCCAAGAGGGGAGCTCAGTTAGCTACCCTAGGTACCTACCTACTGTCTTAGGGAACCCTCGGACTCCCGCTCTGTCTTACCGTACTCCCCCCTCTCGTTTCCTTTTGTTTCGTTTCGTAAGTTACTTATCGGCTGATACCGAGCTCGGACGTCTACTTAGTCCATGCTATCCATGATGGTAATGTTATCACGGCTTGGTCAGTGCCCCCCCAAAAAAGCTTGGTTCGGCCCGAACCTGTGCAGGTATGTAGGTAAGGTAGGCAAGTTACATAGTTAGCAGGAAAGTAGGTCAGCAAACAAGAACGAATGTAGGTCTATGGAGGTACCTGTGGTAGCTACGACAACGGATGGAGCTGTATGCTTGCTTTTTTCAGCGGTTGGCTGTGAGGTAGGTAGGTAGGTAGGTAGTTGGGACGAATATGTAGAGGGGTGGATGGGCTGATGACGGGCCCATAACGTAGGTAGGTAGGTGGATGGAGCAACTACACTATAGGTGCCTACCTACCTCCCTGCCTAAGACATTACACATCTGTATGTATAGGTATATATCTCTATGCATGTACAATACGTAGGTAGGTAGGCTATGCCAGGAGATACCTATCTAACCTACCTGGTTTAGCTCAGTAGGCACAATGCAGTCATACGTGCGTGTGCTGCTGCATACAACGGAGATCCTAACCTAGCCGCTAGTTATATCTGAATCTGGCCAATAACCACCCCGAACAGCGGTTAACACACCTGGGCATACATACATATATCTACATACACACATGCTTACACCACTCGCTCTTTTGTCGTCGTGGGAACCACGGTTGGCGCGTTACGGCTCCCAATGGGCCGCTGCTGGAGAGTTATGTATGTAGGGAGGCAGGCAGGCAAGTCTTGCTGCCATTGTCGTTCACCTATAGCAGAGAGAATGTGACCAAGCAGGTCTGTAGATCAACCTCACCCCCTCTTTACTGCTGATATGGAGCTTTGGCTAGGGAGTGTTGTCTGTGGAAGTTACCTAGGTTATGCGGTAGAGTAGGTACCTAGGTAGGTAGGCTGGCAGCTTGCGTTTCCTGTTGTGGCCATATGGCTGTATATCGCGTCTAGGCAGGATTTGGGGGTCAGATTCGTCTAGATCGTATGGATGTTTATATTGCTTATGTAGAGAGATTCTGCATCGTATCCACGCCTCTGCAACGCTATAGTTCGACACCGTAGTAAGCTTCGTCCGAACACCCTCGAAGAAGGGACAGGCATTGTGGGCTTAGTCGCCTCCTCCTCGCAGTCTCGATGTCTTAGATATTGGACGATTATCCATGCCATGCTCGCCTGCTCGTTTTCGACACGTGGGTTGTCAAGGCTCAAGGCAGCTCGGCGTACAGGTACAATACAATACAATACAATGCGATACAGCTACATCAATCCACCTCCGTCTAACCCCGAGATCGGCAGCACAGACTACTGGCGTTCCGAACCGGCTATCCCGACCCCCTTTTCGGCATATGCCGACGGTACATAATTTATACCTATGTAGGCCAGGTATAACTAACTATACACACACATACTTATCTATACACACATGATAGCGTGGTGCAGTGAAATTTCATAGTACGTAGGTAGTGTAGATAAAGTGCCCAGGTAAACTAGCTGACTAGCTGACACATTCTTTTATTATGGGGGGACTCGCGCTTTGCTACTCTTTTCGTGGTCCCTCCCTCCCTTTGCCGTCGTCTGTCTGGTAGGGCTGCAACTACTATTACTAGACGATGACGCCTCGCCCCAATTCCCCGTATATTACTAAGGTATGTATGTACCAGGTTAGGTGGGTAGGTAGGTCTATCCACGAAAGTCTAGACCTCTGGCCCCCCCCCCTTAGCGGCAGATGACGTGTGACGAGAGCAGGTTCTCCCCATGGTCGTAATTATCTCTTTAAGTCGTATTTGTCTTCGCGGGTTTTTTTTTCGGTAGGTAGGTAGTTAGCTAGGCGACAAGAAAGAGCGAAGCTTTGTGCCTGTCTACCCCTTGATTTAGCACGTGTAGCGTCGAGATAGGGTATAACGCTTGCGTCGAATACAGTTAGGGCCGCTGGGTTTGTTGGTGTGCCTAGTAGGGCGCTGGATGGCCAACTCGGATAGGGACTCCGGTGCTGGGATGGGCTTCTTTAACAAAATACCTATTTAGAACGGGTACCTAAGGTTAGGTAGGTGTGTGTGCAACTAACTAACTAAACTATTACCAGACAGTAGGGGATTTTTTTTTTTAACAAGAACCATCAAATTCTTGGCCATAAACCTAGGTTAGTTGTCTAAATAGGCAGCTCTACTTCCTCCTCCTCCTCGAAAGTGGCCTGATTTTTGTTTTTCTTCTGCCTTCGCGGCTGGGAGTCAACTCGATACGACACCGTTTCTCTCCTTCCACAATCTCCGAGCGCCTACTACAGCCGTTTTTAGAAACTTTTCGGCATTTGAAGCGAAAGTGAGGCTGTAGCTTAAATATGGTTCCTTGGGGGGGGGGGGGGTTCTGACCTGACATCTGTTTACACATACCTAGGCCCTAGGGTAGGGTAGTTAAGATGTGTGTGGTGTGTCCCCTCCCCCCCCCCCCCCCCCCCCCCAACTCTTCCCCCGGCGGACCAGGATGGGGGGTCTCGGAGAGAGAAGAGGGATCCTGGTAGGCCGGAGTGCCGCGGTGGGGGTTTAGGTTGTTCTGAGCTAGACCGGGTGTCCTAGCTCAGACGACCTATACCCGCTTGGCCGCTTCCCGAGCAGTTCTTAACGAAAATAGGGTGATTCTTTTTTTTTTAGCCTGCTGCTTTGCTTGGCTAGGGGTGCTAACTACACTAGTGCAATAGAGACAAGTGAGACACTACAACATTGGATGGTAACTAAATTATGCAACCTCCAAGTCCCCCGTGATCACACCTGGTTCATTGCTTGCCGCCTTGCTATTTTGGGAGAGTTATAGTGGTTTGAGACGCGCTAGGCTGGAACTAGATATATTTTCTTCTTAGTTGGACTCATTACGGGCTTTGCTTTTCATAACCCAAGAACCTCGTTCGTTGTTTAGCGCTGCTCTGTCAAAGACCGTCGGGGTGGGAGAGACTCGAGAGTTAATTAAATAGTGGGATGGCTTTTTGTTTTGACAGGTTTGACGGGCTAGAGATGACGGAATGGCTGATCGGAAGGCATGGCGTGCATGTAAATTTGATGCTAATATAATTATTGTTGTTGATATCTTAGGTACCCAGGGTGTCTAGTTTGATATGTATCCATTTGCACTCAACCAATCGCAACAAGTCTTTCAGACACTACTGTACATTGGGCGGTGGTGTAGGTACATACATGATAGACACCTCTTTCTCTCCTATTAAGATATCTGTAGGAATTACCACATATTCTTGCCATAACGTTTTATATGCTGGGTTTAAACGTGTCTCATCGACAGCCTGGTAGATGGAATTTCAAGCCTCTGTGTAGTCCCAAGGAGCAATACTACCGATTGGCCAGCCATCGCTCATCCATACCATACGTCCCATCTCTGCATCATGCGAATCATAATGCATTGGCGCAATGCAAGTCTACTTGTCAAAACCACATGCAACATAACCAAAAGCCAGAAAGCTCAGGGTACTCCAGGGGTCGTGCTCCTACAACGTATGTAGAATACCTTTAGGTATCTACGGATTTTGCTTGGTACTGTATGCATGTAGTCAGACGTAGATCCCTATATCACCTGAGGTGGTATCGGACTCCGCCCATGGATCGGGATGTGAGATATTGATTGGTAGGTGCCTGTGCAGTGTATGCTATTGGCGAGAACAGTAATTTGATGGCAGATGTGACCGCGTCGTATAGGCTAGATCGTAACGTAATTATGGAATGTGCAACGAAGTAACTATAAGCATACTGAATGGCTAGACTATATGACTGATATAGACATAAACGGCATTGCTGACTAAATGTTATTGGTACTTGGAGGATTCACAAAGAAAGACTTGGGAATAGGGGCAAAATTCATTCATTGTGTAACCTACCTATACTTAACTGTCAATGCACCGATATAGATACAAGCTTACATAAGGGGCAATTAGTCTTTCAGAATTTTGAATCAGCCCTTGCCAGTTGCATGTTAAAAATAACTTCAAAGCACGCAGTTTCTTCGTTGTCATGCTCTTGTACTTAGATAGACAGATTACTACCACGGCCAGGGGCATCATCTCACAACCTTCTGGGACAGCCGCATCAGGGGAACCAAGCACAAGATGTCACCAGTGTTGAAATGTACAAACATACGCACACAAGAGCAGATGAAGTAGAGAGCGACATAGGTATATGAATAATATATGGCTACCAGTAAATCCAACCTGAACCCCAACCCCTTAAAATAGCCTCATACCTAGTGGAAAAGCGTTGCTATGCACAGCGCCACCTACAACCCAAACAACCTACTTATCTCCCCGTAGACCTACCTACTGCTTACGCCATCGTGCCTGGCAAGCTGTCGAGCCCTAGGTAGTAGTATCACGCAAGTTAGCAATCCCCACCCGCACAACAACATTCCGTTCGTTTTATAAGAACAGGACAAAAAAAAAAAAAAAAAAAACTCACAACCATCCGTCTCCTCGCCCACCATGTCGGGGATCTTGCACTGGTTGGCGACGGACATGGCCTGCTTCTGGATGGAGCCGCAGCCGTCGTAGAAGCACTCGGACTTGTCCATGGCGCGCTGCAGCGAGTCGTCCTTCCAGCCGAACATGTAGTCCGCGTGCGTCCCGTAGCTGCTGCCCTCGAAGCTCCACACGAACGGGTTCGGCGCCCCCGACGGCCACAGGCTGTTGAACTTGGTCGTGTCCCAGGTTGTCTCGAAGGTCACTTGGGGGACGCGGATGCTAGAGAGGGGGAGGGTTAGTTGGGGGGATGAGGTGTAGAGAAAAGAAGGGAGTGGCTGGTTGGCTTTGGAGGGGATTTTTTTAGGGAGGGGAGGGAATGGAAGGGGGGAAGGGGTTAAACTTACGGGTGCGAAGACGGGCACTTGGGCGCGTTGTTGAAGTAGTCCGTGTCGACGGTGTTGTACATGTGAGACTGGTGGTCCGCGCTGTCGAGGTTCTTGCCGTCCCAGCATCTGTGACTTATTAGCATCTCATATCTAGCTACCACCCTTATACCTATATAAAGGTTGGGATTAATCAAAGGATTCATTTACGCGGGGAAGTGGTGGCTGGTGAAGATGCCGCCCGAGCACGGCTTGTCAGGAATAGTCGCCTGCAAGGCACCTCGGCTGCCTCCCGTCAGGCATTGGTAGTTGAGCCCGACGTGCGATCGGGACGTGGCGGTTGGGCTGCCGACAGTCATGCGGAACCCCTATATTTTATTATGAAAAGCTTTAAGTAAGTTTATATACATCCCACATATCGCATGACACATATCTAGTATGGTGATTAGGCAGGTAGTAGTAACACTTACCGGCTTAAACGCCATGATAGGCTGCTGGGCGAGGTTGTCGCGGCTCAGGTCGAACTGGGTGTAGTAGACCGTGAGGCCACCCTGTGCGCCATTCGAGCCTCCCAGGAGGGGCTGCACAGGCACGACGGGCACGCGGTGGTAGGAGCCGTTCGTGGGGTGCTTGAAGTACAAGTGGGCGGTCCAGTAGTTGGAGAAGTCCTCCGACATCTGGCAGGTGGTGCAGGTGGCCCTGGCGCCGACGTCGCCCGTCATGGTGGCGTTGAAGGCATTGCCGCCGACGATGTGGTGGACGTGGGCGGAGGGGCTGATGCCGGGCTGCACGACGGGGTCGAGACGCTGGATCGTCAGGGTTGAGCACGGGAAGCGCAGTCCGGCTTGGACGGACGCGATGAGCGCGATGGCTGAGAGCAACTTCATCTTCATGATACCTAGTGGACAGGAATAGCAACAGAGCAACGGCGAGGAGAAGAGTTGAAAAAAGGAGATGGAGGTGAGTAGGCGCAAGCCCAGATCTATCTATAAAGAAACCTTGAGCCTACCTGAACTCACTTCACAACCGTTATCATCTCCTGCAAGCGGGTATCACTGAAATGGGACAGCGGAGTCACACAGAAATAGGTACCTACGTTCAAATAAAGGCAAACCAAAAAGGCGTAGGTCTGGTACCAATCATCTCGCGGCTGCCCCCTACCTCAGTAGCATTCGTGATATTAGACATGTATGTATGACAGATTGACAGGTTTTCGGCAAATGCCTTTGTCATATGTTCATTGGCTTTCGAAAATGCCGCGAGCCAGGCACATGGGGGGCAGGGTCCCTTCACATCATCCTAAATTAATTACGAAGAGAGAAAGAGAGAGCGTTTGTTCAATTTAGATAATCGGTGGCATGCTATTGGGCCTGGCTAAATGGGACGAGGCTTGGGGGGTTTTTTATATTGTTCAACAACGTATGGTGTGCTCTCTCCCACTGGGGGAAAGCTTTGTAATAGAGCCCTGTGAAATTGGTTGCTTCTACTAATTAGCAACAGTTTACTGTTGAAGGGTCAGATTTGTTGTTCTTTGGTAGCTGGAGATTGTAAACATTGATAGGAGGCATGGAGTTGAGTTTTCTGTGATTTATGAATAACTTGTTGTATGACAACCCTTTTATATGCCATTGTTCGACTAGACACGATTTTAAAAAGGTATGAAATGAGAAAAGAACAATAAAGTGAAGAGGCTGTGTGTTTGTGTGTAAGAAAGGGTTGTAACCGGTGATAGCTATACAGTATACGCGACTGAAGTCCCGCCTACATCCAAGGTTATTGAGCTGTACCCTCTGTTTTGAGTCATGTCTTATAAATAAAATCGCTTCATTTACAAGTAAAAGCAGGCTGTAACTGTCACCTGTAAAGAGACCAGTTCAGAGCTAGTCCCTATCATCAATGCAGTACTGAGGATACCTACATATTCTTCCCCTTCCATTCATCTCGTTTGTTGCCGAACCATCCATATCATCTTCATTCAAATCAACCTCCAAGGGGGGATAAACGGCAGATGTATTCACCTTGTTAGGCTTCATAGACATAATACTTACGTCAAGATTGAGACAAGGCAGTATCAAACAGGATTGTAAGAGGAGTGTGTAGTCTATTTCCCCGACTCTATTTGTTGACTTGCCGAAGGAAGACTTGATATAAGCTCGACGAATTCCAAATATTCCCATTTTGGAGCCTCCTAATCTAAAACACATGAACACATGCATGTTACCAGTATGTTACTAAGAACCATCGTACCCGGTAGTTGGCAGGGCAAGCCCAAAGTAAGTAGGCACCTAGGGTAGGTAAGTAACCTACCACGCTCCCCTTTTAGGCACTCAACTAGGTTGCAGACATCAAATTGCATTCCAAACACTATAATGTAAAAGAGAGAGCACCTTGCTAGTCATCAAGTAACAATGTGATAGTTTTAAACTTGAACAAGGTAGATGATAGATATTTGCCTACCTAAGTCATAAATTCATTACAGATAGGTATGAGAGATGATGGTACCTATTCATGAAGAAACCCAAACCAATCCAGCAAACCCACTTGTACTCGATACACCGTAAAGAATCCCTTCACGTTTTGTTCCATACAGTGTTACTAAGGCACATAGGCTAGGCAAATTCCTTCCTATGTGATTAGCCCCTTTTTTTTCTTTTTCCAAGCCAAGGAAAGTCCCGTCCAAATACATCCATGATATTATTTCCTTCCATATTTTTCTTGTCCAAAAATAAAACGTACAGAAAAGTCATTCCGGTACACACGTTTTCATACACTTCGTAGCAATCAATACAAGTAAATGGAGAAAAGAAAGCACCAAAAACCATGTTGCTTCAACATAGGGAAGTATCCCGTCATCTCGTCTCTCATACCTATCATCAAAACATGGAAATGGAACAGAATCGTAAAAAATATCGTTAGCCTCGTAAATCAGCACCATCTTTGACAGCCATTGTGGTTGGTTCGGGTCATGCAATCTTTGTGAACCACGACTTGCAAATGCCCTGTTCGTTACCTCACTTGAAGAGCCTTTTGAAGGCAGCGCGGAACCCGGTTGACTTCTTGGTCATCTCGGCCTCTGCTTCGGCCTCGCGAGCTTTCTGTCTTTCCTCTCGTCTCGAGTGCCGGCGTTCATCCTTGCCCACAGAGGCCTTGGAGCTGGAAGACACTGCCTCGGTTCCGTGCCTCGTCTCCACCCTACGTCGCTTGGATCCGTCGTCGTGCTCTCGAGAGATTTCATCGTAGTCTCTATCCCTATCTCTGTCACTGTGGGTCCTGTGACTTTTGGATCGAAGGATGTCCACAGATTCGCGATGGGACTTGGTGGTGCTGGAGCGTTTTAGAGACCCGAATTTAGGCGCATCCTTGAAGACTGGAGATGAACTATTATGCGTGCTACTGCTTTTAGGTCGTGTGGCAACGTTCGGCGTTACGTTGCTTTCGACGTTCTTCATATCAAAGAACTTCTTGCCCAAAGATGTGCTCTCTTCCTTCGTCGAGTGTCTCTCGGAACGAGGTCTTTCCGAGTGCCTGTCAGGATAGGATCTATCTGAGTACTTGTCAGGGTAGGATCTATCCGAGTGCTTGTCGGGATAGGATCTTTCTGAGTGCCTTTCGGAATATGACCTATCCGAATAGGATTTCTCAGATCGTCTCTCGGGGTGAGACTTTTCGGAATGGGATATACTGTGCCGCCTTGAACTGCGATGGGAGGGTCGATCACTGGGTGGAGGCTCCGATTCCTTGCCTCGACTTTCTCGTTCCCTTTCTCGGTCCCTTTCATAGGCCTCACGTGCAGCGCGTCGTGCTCGCTCTTCCTTGCGCCTTTCGTGGGCAGCTTGTTCTTCTGGGGTACGCTGATACTTTCGGCTCGAGGCACTGTGTGAGCTTCCCACCGAAAAGCCACTATCTTGTCTCGGGGATTGGCGAGGAATCGAACGGTCGGAAGAAGACTTTGGTGGGTAACTGGTTTCTCCACGGCTGCTGCGGTGATGGATATATTCGCCGCTACCTTTGTCATCTCGTGACCGTGAAGAGTGGTGCGAAGAATGATGATGGTGGTGGTGATGTCGGTGCCGGTGATGTCTCTCGTCTGCGGACTTCTTTTCTTCGTCGTCTGTACACAGGTCAGCAACGGGCAATGAACAATCATTCTGGCCAACGCTCTGATTTCCTGCAACAAATCCCGGCGAAGAAAAATCATCCACCTTCTGAGCATCTCCCTTAGCCGGTTCCAGATTTTCTACTGCGTCCTTGATGCGGGCACTACCCAACGGAGAATCTTGTGGAGGAACAAGCTCTTGAGCTGCGGCATATATCACGACGGCGGCTGCAACAACTTCTTCAACTTGTCTAATACTTTGCTTGCGGCGCTTTCTCACGCTTCTCGCGCGGCCCAAGGCCCTTGCTTTGGAATCATCAGGATCTGGGAGCATGATTCCTGGGGTTCTCGACCGAGGCTCCAAATCAGCAAAATTGATGATACTATTGAGACTAGTGCTCGGCTGAGAGCCAAAGTCATAGTAGGATTCGGTTTGGGTGCCTGAATGAACCAGAGATGGCCGAAGTGGCCGCTTGCTACTCTTTTGCGGGATTGGCTCTTTTTCAATTACTGTGAAAGGGTTTGAAAGGGGCATGGCTGACACCGTTATATCAGGAGTTTCAGGCGTGTCGACACTATCTGATTTCGGTTGGTCATCTGCCTTTGAAAGAGAGGCGCTGCCAGGAGTAGTTTCTTGAACCTGAAGGCTGTAGGCATCCACCGGTCTTGCAAGAGCAGACGGAGTATGCTCAATAGTGACTGGAATATCGTCGGTCTCTTTTGAAAGTTCATGAACAAGAATTCCGCCGGTGGCTGCAAGCGCAATAGCTCCGACAACCCCTATCTTGACCGCGTCATTGTGATCTTCTGGGACATTCACATGTTCATTGCCTGACAGTAAGGCTTGTGGATTCACAATTTCGGCTGTATCTTGCACAGCCTCGACGGTGTCATCATGCAACTTAGTATCCTGCTGTTGAAGACTGCTAGATTGCTGATCAAATTCTGGGATATCGATAGTGCCTTGCTCAATATTTTCATCCGAGCAAGGAGACGTGATATCTTCAGAGGGAGGTGGTTCAATAAATCCCTGGAGATTATCTACTGTCCCCGAAGGCGCGATCGAAAATTTCTCTTCGTCAACACCAATATGATCTTGGATTGGAGCTTCACCCATCTCCGTGAATTGATCTCCTTCTTGCTCTTCATCCGATGGCTGTGAAGGAAGAGCTGGCTCATCGCTGCAGGATGAATCCAAGGGGCTTACGACGGGATCAGCATCTAGTTGTTCTTGCTGCTTTGAGCCGCCCGTGACTTCAACTACAACAGATTCATCGGGTTCCTCGACGATAATAAAGTCGTCGCCAACATCTGTCCTTTCAACTTGAGCATTGTCTGAAGTAGACCCCACAAGGAGTTTAGGTTGAGGCTTTTCGCCAATAGGTGATAATTCGTCGCTGGCCTCTTTTTTGACACTTGTGTCAAGCTTCCCGCCCGCGACATTTTCAAATTGAGACTCACCCGTGGCTGAGGGATTGATAAATTGCACACTGGATTCAGATCGTAGAATTGCCTCAGTGGAATTTTTCAAGACGACGAGGCCCTCAGTGCTTTGATCCACTTCTAGTAAACGTTGCTCTAGTTTGATGTCTGGTTTGATGGTGGCAGCAATTGATCCAACAGATTGCTTCTCCTGAGGTTCTGTAGATTGCAAATCCGATGGCTGGCCCTCACTTCTGGTAGGCAATGTAGTTGGTATCAATACCTGGACAGCCTCTTGGCCAAGCTCTTCAGTAGGCTCTTTGGCAGTAATTGGCAGCAGCTCTGGCTCTGGCACAGGGATTTCTTTCT